CGCAGAATGACAGCTGATTCGCACCTGCAACATCGAGGTGCGTGGATCTATTTAGGTGCAGGCAGTTGTTGTTGGGTGCTTCATATAGCACGGTTTCCCAGGAGTACAACAGTTCTCGCAGGCAAATAGTACGTGAAGAGAGTGGAGAAACCATGAGCTTTTGGTCTGTTTGGCGCAGAAACTCTAGAATGGGGACATCGCGATCACTGAGTAGGTGACTGCTGCTTTGCTGCCCTGTTGCGTTGCGGTGAGTGTCAAGCAGTGCTTTGTTGTACACGCCTGAAATTGCGGAGGGAACACTAACTGAATTGCCATCTGGTTCTTTATTTGTGAAGACTTCGCCATTTCACTTGATTACAGATGGCGCTTATTTGTGCTAAAATGCCGGTTTTGTGAGTCGTAGGCTCATTCTGAGATATTGAATATACGTACGCAAGAGGGTGCATAGACTGTTCGATGCAATACCAGCTATCTCGCCTGACATGGTCCGAAAGCGAAAAATATCTACCTGTCTGTATAGATTCTGGAGATAGAAGACGCATCAAGATGCTCTGCATGTTTGAGAAACACCTTGCGATATACGTTCGGTCCCAAGGGAAAGCCCGAGACTCCTTGTCACGGTGTAATGCGCGGACGATATGATATGCTTCCACGGTAACGTTTTCGGGAAATAAATATAGCGGGATGTCGACTTATGTGCAAACACAGCACGCAATGCTCCACTTCAGCACCTAGTGTTTTTCTCACGTAACCCTCACAGTGTAGAGGTGCTGCTTTGCTACGTTTATATATCGCAGCCACTTAGACTGGACCTGGTAATTCAAATAACCAAACCAGTTTCAGAAACGCGGAAATATTCAACAAAGGAACGAGTGAAAGAAAATCCGGTAAACTAGAGAGCATTAAGCTAAAATAATTTTGGCTGCTGCATTGATTGTGTCGAAATTATCGAGAGACGTGTGTTCGTGAAAAATATTCAACAATGTGCTGCAATGTTCTCCTGCCGTAGCAAAACGCGAACAGAAGTATCTTGTTTGAACTTTAATTAGTCTGCTTTCATTTTTTCTGTTTCCGGCATTCTGGCCTGCTGCGTCATTATCTCTCTGGAGAAAGAGAGAATGAATATTGTTGCGCAGTCAAACGAGCAGTCTCTGCAACGTTGCTGCATATGTGCAATGCCCTAGAAGAATTGCAATGGAAGGGAAAGCATAGAATGCTTTTTCACTACGTACGAAACTCTAGCATCCTACAACAGGATATTCCACCGCTGCACAACAGTGTGGAAGCTAGCAATGCAATCTGCGTTTTATAGAACCGTACACGAGTACTACGGACACCGCTTCGCCAGTAATTTCTCACCACGCGATAATATGCGGCGGACAGTATGATTAGCTGCGTTTAGGCCACATAACATTCCATTGCTCGGCATTATAGCAACGCCTTCTGTGTCCTCCAGCGGCGAAGTGGTGCCATTCTATCGTTGAATAGCATACTTCATAGGAGCCCTCAATAAACAGATTAGCCAATGCCCACCTGCAAAAAAATATTCTGCACGTTGTTATCTGGAATGAAAGCTCTGTTGGTTCAAATATTAAATCCTTCATGGCGGTGCGCAGTATAGAAAATTGCGCTTCTGGCATGGATAGAACGTCAAAGGAGAAATTCTGTCATGGACTAGTAGACGTACATTAGTTATCGCGAAAAAGTCCTATAGCATATCATCAATCTTATTTCTGGCTAACAATGACGCACGCTCTTTGAGTTAGCATTAAAAATCTTTTACGCAGCGATAACGTAATGAATGCAGCTGTGCTTTGGCAGAAACGTGAAAGATCTTTGTCTGCCCCCTGACACGAAATGAATCAGAATTATTGACTGTGTGGAGAGTGTAAAAAACGCCATGCATTTCACTTTGGGGTTCGTCCGCCAAACGCTTACTTTTGATGTTTTTTTATATCAGGATAGCAATTTTCCGTAAACCAGCGCCTACGAAAAGGCGTATTAATTCATTATTCTGCATTTGGTCTGGAAAACATTCACACCAAATACGAGATTCTGGAAATTCTGTGTTCATTGACAGTTTCATTTTTGTACCTACAACTGCTGCCCCTGAATCTGCGGAATCGAGCTGTCTGTGTGAATACTGCAGCATTGTCACAAATGCCTCTACAATCCTGCTTCAACAGTTTACTCCAGTCCAGTAATACTGTCGTTAATTTAAAAGATTGGCCTTCAATGAAAAATTACGTGGAATTGTTCGTAGTTTGCTCATTTAGTATAGGAAACGTATACCATTATTGGGATACTACTGTGGGAGATGTTACAGGTTCTTCCATTTTTCATGAATATAGCCGCTGCGGATTAATCAACTGTCGGCTTACACCCTATGTATAGGTGGGATGTAATGATGTTTTTGATAATATAAATGAATAACATTTATTCACTTATTTGGATGGATTGAGCAGTCGCCTACGTGGGTTTTGTTCGACATACCCATTTTAGTGTTTTCTCCAGGACTCTGCTCTGAAACTGTGTAATATAGAAATGCAGCTAATACTGTTTTGCCTTACACTGTTCAAGAGAAATCATTTGGGTTCTCAAGTCGTTCCTATAAAAACTGTTCACACGTCCTCTGGCGTTTCAATTTCCTGCCACCGCGTTTCCTGTTTCCCTGGATAGATATGAAGCAGCAACACTATTGGAATTCAATTAGCAGAAATACTTGATGACCGGGCTAAGAAGTCTTGTTCTGATCGCGCTATTCTCTTAGGCCAGCTTCCCAGGAAAAAGCCTCTAGCGTCAATACTCACGGGCGTTTCTTCGGACACAGTGGCTCTATTGATATTATTCTCTGATAAATTCTTCTGTTTTGATTACTTTGCAGCATCCGACTCACCGCCGCTGTTTAGCAGACATTCATCGAGACGAAAAACTAGCTACTGGTATGAACATTTACCTGCTATTGGGAATTATGTTTGTAAATGTGAGTTTGAAAGCAGTTTTAGAGGTATTTGCCGTCTATATCTCAAACCAGATATTTCGGTTGTGAGCGCCCTTTCTGTTCATCTGCATCCGTAGTCATGCGGCCCCTGTACTGATGCATGATACTTTTGTTGTCCTACTGGTAGGGGGCAATGGCAGTACAGTGTCCTTGTTGGCGTAGTAGCTAAACAGTCTTACTTTAACACTGTAACTGCAGGGCTAGACACTTGCAGAACGCTTTCTCTTAAGAGACAGAAACCACAAATTCTTTAGTTTATGACGATGTTGTTCCAAGGTTTTCCGCTGAATATGCTCACTCATAATGACCCAAAGAACGGAAGTGAAGATATACATTCCAGGAATATCTATATAGGCCTCTTTGAAAGGTCTCGTTCGCCGATTGTGCCCTGAAGTTTTTACATTCTAGCCACGGAATCAAAATTCCTCTCTAGTAGATCAGAGTATCATTAAACCCGAGGAGATTCGATTCGTTTCCTGGTATGATTCCTATTGAATGGTAATTTGTGCGGCTGACCTCATGTGAAGAGAAAGTCATAGTGGCGCAATGATATCTCAATTCTACTAAGTACCTACAGCAAAAACAAAACTCCTAGCCTCGCGGAGACGGGGAATCAGACTTTCCTTTTAGAGCAGATATTAGCAGCAATACCGATAGCCTATGTACTTGTGCTAGCGGTGTCTTCCAACATGGAATAGCAGCCAACCCAGATCGTGTTCCGCGGCTCTAATACGCGTTGAAAAGTTTATGAGAATGAAGTGGTTAAAACTCAATTTGCTTCGCAAGACATTGTCTGCTCTAAAAGGGCGGGGGTATGAATCTGCGTGTCCTCAAGCCCAGGAATTTCTTTCTGAAAGTTCTTGTAATACGTAGCACTGTGCCTACGATATTACAAAAGAGTATACGAGGATACTGGCCAGAGGGAAGCCATTCTAGAAACGTAGGCCTCACTTCATTCTTGGATTACAGTACTCATAGTCCGCTCTCACGGTCACACAGTCGTAAGATTTTTCGATGGCCAAGTAAGATTTTAACCCGCGGAATATCTACAGCGTCATTAAGAGTTCGTTTCGCATGTTTCCTTTTTAGTACTGTTGAACACAATGTCAACCAATATACTAAACATTTCCTGTGCCAGTTAGTTCCTGTCATTGAACGGCACTGTGGTCTGCTGCCTATTTTTCGCAGCCAGAACGGAGCGCTGTCATCTTCCGCACAGTAGTTCGTTGTGGCTCTCCTGTCCACTATGCAATGTAGGCAACACCAACACGTTTTCTTACGCCACTAACAACTATAGAGGATTATTTGCGACTATATAACTGAGCATACAAGTGGAGCAATGGATATATGGCTTCTTCAAAATCATCGGCTAAGAGTTTCCTTTTTTCTTCAGATTATGAAGGCCTCTCTCAACAAAAAGCCATCATTGGCGGTTTTATTACAGGTGCTGTCCTTAATTCCCTGGCTTGAAGCACGCGTTGCTGTTATTAGCGTTCGTCGAAACCTCCACAGAATACGGGGCGCCACTCAAAACTGTCACTATAAAGCAAAATTGTCACTATTAAAGTTCTGCAGCAAAAGACAAAACAGCAAAAAAGTGTTCATCAACACTTTTCCTAACTCAGTGTCCTTACAGTAACGAAATATCGTTTCCATTACAATTTAGAGGGAATAAACACCAGCAGCACACACAGGGAATCTCGCTAGTCCATGGATGTAACTAACTACATGATAAGGCATTTGGCTACATGCTTTTTACCATTTTCTTGCATCTGAAACCCCCTGGCGGCATTACTTTGCTTGTTTTATGAACAAGCAAGATTGCCGCCTGGGTTCACTTGCCTATGCCCGAAGTAGCGCCTCCTGCACTGTTGCTCTATAGCGCTCCCTTCCCCTAAACTGTCCCAATATAGCTTGAAACACTAAATGGGATAAAATGACACAAAGTTCCGCTGAAAATGATGCGGATCTTGCCCCGCATCAACACGCAACTCAGGAAATGTCGCAGCAGTACATGAGCGACGAGGAGTCCTCATACGACTCAGCCGACGAAGGGGAGAATGATGACTATGGTGGCATCATAGCACCTCCCTGGCCCTTTTGCAGCAGCAGACCCAGCGGGAGAAATGAAGGAGCGGCCAGCCATGAGATCGGCGTTCCCCACACGCCGCCAGTAGATGAATCCCATAGCTCATCACCCCTCATGCGCCTGGACTCTATGGACCAGAGGGTGTGAAGATTCTAAGATGATGGTCCAGGATCCGATTCCCAGTACGGAATCGCCTGGCAGTGCGCTGGAACAACAGTAGGGGCAGTCGCTGGGTCCTACTTTCGAACCAGTACAAGCTGCGCAAGCAGAGGGTAGTGCATCGACTATAGCAGAAAATACAGCAAATGTAGCCACGAGAGTAGAGCAAGAGACCGGTGGCCCTGCGGTCCAGGGCACGGTTCCCTGTGAAAACCCAGCAAGCAATGGGACTTCAACGCAGGGATGGGCACAGATGATGTCTAATGGGGCGTCTAGAAGGGACTGTATCAGCCAGTACCTCGCGGCACCGCTGCCAGCAGGTACCACTAGTTCAGCCCCAGGGCCGCATAGACACACCTCAGAGGAGCACATCCCAGCAAGCAACGACATAATACCCCTTTTTGTCTTCGGCAGCCGCAGCAGCGATACAGCAGAAAACCCTACTCACGATAAGGAAACCACAACCAGGAGGGAGGAGGAGCAGCCCGCCTGCTGCCCTAACTGCAGCAGGACCTTTGCCACCAAACGGGGGATGGCCAATCAACTACGAAGGGGCACAAATAACCCTTGCGGGGAATTACATGCAGAAACTATTAATCATCAACAGAATGTGCCAACCCCCTCCAATCCCAGCACTACCAAAAGAAGACGAGGACAGCGCATAGAAGGCCATGAGGAGGGTCGCACCTCACAGACGGCATCGCCGAGGTCACCAAAGAGGAAACAGCACAGAAAACACCCACCACTGTCCTTTCCTTACCCTCCATGGGCTGGACCCCCACCAGCAGCAACTCCTCCAACAACGGAGGATAAAGAGGCAACTCCGACACCTCAACAGGATCTGCAACCGCCGACAGAGCACACCAGCCAGGCACTGCAGATCAACAACACACCGGATGCAACAGAGCAAAGCAATGAGCCTATCTCACGTCTCATACTACTGCGCATACCTCGGCTATCGCCTGACTCCCGTGCAAGGCTAGAACAAACCCTAGAAGCGCTTGCAAAGGAGACAGCAGAGAAAGTCTACGGAGGCACTTCGGAGGAAGTCAGAGCCGCAATCAACGGCTTCACACAACAACTATACAACGCGATTTGGTTTGCTGACAAGACTTCATCAGCAGCCAAGCAAGACAGGCCGAGGAAACAGCACTCCCAGAACGGCAAACACTAAGCAACCCCAACAGCACGCGTTTCCCTAAGACTGGCCCAAGCGCAGGACAACGTCACAAAGGCGTTGCACGCCCTCCGGGAGGAGGAAAGGGCACAGCAGGGAAAACCAAAGGAGGGCTCGATAGAAGCACAAATGAAGAGTCGTGCACTCGAAAGGCATCTACATACAGCGCGTCGCCGCCTCATCAACATCCTGAAAGAAGAGTCAGCACGTAAACTCCAAACACTCTACGAAAGAGACCGCAAGAAGTGTGTGAAGCAACTCCTAGCTGACGAAGATCAATCCCAAAGCCGCGATTGCCCGATCCAGCTCAGTGAGCTGGAGGCATACTTTAGAGACCAACACTCGGAGCAGGCAATTGATCCCACATCCAAACTTGCTCATGAGTTCTTAGACGCTTTGGCGGCAGCTCCAACGGGAGCTCATGGGATTGATATACGCTTCAGTGAAGAGGATGTGCAAGCTCAGCTGCTAAAAAGCAACCTATGATCAACAGCAGGGCCGGATGAGATAAGGTTCTTTGTGTACAAGCAGTCCGCAGAAGTGCTCATCCCGGCCATGTCAGCGATCTACAACGCGTGTTCCCAGCGTCGGAAAGTGCCAAGGAAGCCGAAGGAGAGCGTGACGGTGCTAATTCCCACAGGCGGAGACCCAAATAGCGTGAAGAACTGGCGAGCAATTAATCTACAGGACTGCATATACAAACTTTACGCAGCACTGTGGGCCACTAAGATTACCGACTGGACAATCCAGACCGGGGTCGCCTCCAAGTCGCAGAAGGGATTCATGCGAGTGAATGGGTGCCATGAGCGCCTCTTTCTCGCCCAAAGCATCCTAAACTCCACGCACTGGGGCAAGAAATAGCTGTACATGACATACTACGACTTGAAGAACGCTTTTGGATCCATCCCCCGCCAGCTTATACATGTTGTCTTACAGGCTCAACGGCTACCGAAGCACGTCCGTGAGGTTATTGCTGGCCTCTATCAAGGAGCGAGCTTCTGCATCTCAACGAGGGAGGGCTGTACTCGACGCATAGATAATCAGCAGGGAGTCAAACAACACTGCCCCCTCAGCCCCATGCTCTTTAACCTTGCCACTGAGCCTTTGCTGCAGCGGCTAACAGCGTGCAACAAAGGCCTTGAAATGCGTACGACGAAAGGGAAACCACCTGTGATGGTTTCTCATACGGCGTATGCAGATGACTTGAAGACTGCGGCCGCCACACGGTCGGGTATCAGCAAACTCCACCAAGTGGTGGAAGATTTCCTTCAATGGACGGGACTTGAGGCGAACCCGTCCAAATGCGCAACGCTGGGATGGAAAGTCCATGCGGCCAAGCAGCAACCAGACCCAGTCAAGCTCACCTTACACAAGGAGATTTTACCACTGGTGAAGCTGGGAGAAGCCAATAGGTACCTGAGGTTCAAAGATGCGCTGGAATCACCAGTTCATCAGAACCAAATCCTTTGTGTCATGCGCAAGGCGAAAAAGGATACCAGCAGGCTGTTAAGATCAGAGCTTCTCCCCTGGCAGAAATTAGATGCGCTGCGCACTTTTGTACTGTCTCGACTGGAGTATCATCTCAGACACTGCTACTCTTATAAACAGCACCTGGCAGCATTCGATATTCACGTACGGGCCGCTCTGAAGGCAGCCTTCAAGCTCCCGAAGAGCACGGTCAAAGAGGTATTTCACCAGCCAATCCCTCATGGGGGAATGGATTGTACCTCTATACAGACGATAGCAGCCGCAACGCAGATTTGACATGCTATCCAAATGCTCAACAGCCCGGATGACATGATCCGAGCGGTTGCGGAAGGTCAGGTGATGGAGGTCATTAAGCGGGCATTTGTCTACACGCCTAACGATGAGAATGGCGACCGCAGGGCTATTCTTGCCTACCTTAACGGTGAAGACATAGGATGTGTTAGAAGGAGAAGCAAGAAGGTGGGTGTAAGAAGCCCCTGGTCAGAACTCCCAGGAATTATATCGATGAGCAAGACGCGAATCGTAACTGGGACCAATGGCTACTATGTGCTTCAGAAAGCAGATGGCGCCGCTCCAGACCAGAAGCAGCTCATTAGGAGTATTAAACAGCATATAGTGGAGCGGCAGAGGGATGTGTGGAAAGAGAAGGTGGATCAAGGAAAATCTGTGGCCTATCAGTCAGCGGATAGTAATTCTTTTCTACTGGGACCGGCTCGTCTTAAGCCAGAAGAAATCATCTTCGCCATCAGGACGAGATCTGCGCAGCTTCCCACACGTGCATACCTCAAACGAATCGGTGTAACGAAGGTATCCCGTTGCCGCCACTGCACAGCTGACCCTGAATCCCTCGCTCATATCCTCAACCACTGCCCGCACAACATTGACAGTAAGATAAAAGCAAGACACAACAAGGCACTGGAGGGGATTACAACAGCCATAAAACACAGCGTGGGGAACAGGGGGAAAACACTCTTGACTGACAGTTGCCCGGACGACATGGAGACACGCTTGAGACCAGACATCATCCTGCGAGATGAAAGGACGAAGACAATGAAGATTGCAGATGTCGCGGTTGTCTTCGAAGACTACAAGAAAAGCTCGCTCGGGTCCGCCTGTATTCAGAAGGAAGAAAAATACAAGGATCTCAAGACACATTCTGAAAAACGTGGATATCGGGTATCAGTGCATGCGTTGGTATATGGCTCTCTCGGCTGTATAGCACAAGAAAACAGAAAGGTGCTTACAGAAAACCTAGGCATTGCGGAACGCACTACATGGGTCTTACAACGCAATATTAGCACTGATTGTATCCGGTATAGCAATCAGATCTGGGGTTTTCATATCGCTGACAACGGTTCACGACGAGCTCGAGGCAGAGGCCGTCCCCACGCAAACAGCACACAGTAAATAATACGCTAATGATGCATTTATATCTAGCCACAATCGGTAGCAACTCATCTGTGGGAAGGCAAGTGAAAACGGTTGGCCCTTGGCTTTGGGCGTGCCGTAGGAGTTGAGGCTCCCTTGAAACGTTCCTCATTTTTTGGGAGACATTCCCCCCACTCCAAAACCCAGCAAGCAATGTTTTCAACGTCCCCAGGACTACACAGGGGACTCTTGGGAAAGCATGGTCTCTACTCGGACGAACTTGCAGGCTTTGCTAATTTCAAATATTTCTTCGTATGTTTGCAGTACTTTCCTACTGCGGGAAACTCAGGTGATTTATTGACAGCGAGAAATTCACTGGATTTGGCAAGAAAACATTGAACGAAAAGAATCCTAAATCTTCCATAAAATTCTTGTTGTAGCGGAGTACTAAAGAATTCCGATCAGAAGACGCCCGATTCTGTAACGTCTAATGCTCACAAAAGGCTTCGCCCGCCAGTACGGCATAAAGGAATACGTCCGATTTTTCAGCATTCTGTGAAACCTCTTATACGCATACCGGCTTTTGGGTTTCATAAAGCAGTAGGACATTGCTATTATGACAGAAAAATTTTAGTGCACGACCCTCTCAATTTTGTTCCGAGGGAGACTTGTCCACAACTGCGTAGCTCCAGATCCCGCGGAGAAATAGCCAGAAAAATGGCCTGGTAAGAGGAAAAGGCAGCTGAACAGCATTAAGCCAACAAGCTAAGCCATATTGCTCGCCAGAACACTGGCAAGAGGAAAAGGCAGCTGAACAGCATTAAGCCAACAAGCTAAGCCATATTGCTCGCCAGAACACTGGCACGACTTCGGAGTCTCCTCGTCGGCGCACGGAGTTGGTACTACTGTAGGCATAAATCAGAGTAGCGTATTAAATTTTCGTGCACTTCTCAGTACTACATTGCCCTCCTTGCTCATTATTCTTGCAGTTAAGTGTACGAAATCTCCCGAGTGGTGCGAACCGCTGAGAAGCAAGCGACTAGGTGATGATGAAAGGCTTTTCCTATGAGCAGAACAACAAAATACCAAACCAGTAGAGAGGAACGCTGACGACTACTGAATCATGAGGCCCGAAAAAATTTGTTCAGCAAACCGCTAACATTCTAGACTGATGTTGCGCCGCAGCTGTCCACATTGTTCTATCATCCAGTCAGGAAGCTGAAACCTGAGTGAACTGCTACAACTAGGATACCCTTTGAGATGCAATCTGAAGCGCTTGCTGACTAGCATGTGTAACGTGGAAATAGGAGGAACTTCTGGTGTTCGCCAGCACTTTTCGTTGCTGACTGAACAAAAGGAAATGCTTAGTTGTGATTGGAGGAGCTTTCGCGAAGAAATGTACAATGGAAATGAGCTGAATGTGCGACAATTCCCGCTACGAACACAACACAAATGGTACCTCGCATCACTGAAATGCTCGCATCCACATTTTAGAGCAACTGGATGCGCTGACTGCAGTGGTTGCGCTAAATGGCTCGTTGCTCGCATTCTTCTAAAATTTCGAGCTATTTCACGTATTATGCGCTAACGACACCTTTTAGTGTCGACAACGTATTGCCCCGTAAGTCGATTCACCTCTAGACAGCATTGTCTGTGGCGTGCTGCCTTCTTGGAGGTGCAGCCTTCTTGGAATGTTTGTGTTAAAAATTGCGGAAGGCTGCGTGGGACGAACTGGATCCCGAAAATCATCAACAGTAAACAATGCTGGTTTCAGATATTTTAATCTGATACTGTAGTGCACAGCGCCTACTGCTGCGACTACGCTGCTACCTGCCCCTCGAGCAGGGCCTATGAACGGCACCTAACATTGGCCAATTTCCTTGAAGCAGTAGCTTATATATATCGACAAACAGTTATTCTTAAGTTTCCAAAATCTGTTGTTGTTCAATTCGCCCAACCCGGGGTGCTCGCCTCCTAGGCCCTGTGGCGAGGAGGCCTGCACAGGTGCCGGCGCTATCGCCAGCCCCAGTATCCACGCATTTTCCGGCGCCTCTAGCGTATGTATATTATTTCGCAGACAAATTGCCTTACTTTGATCCTAGTAGGAGGCTCGTTTTCTCCTCCAGTGTTGCGACCCTTTGTAGGTCGCTCGCTAGCTATCGTCTATTGGTCGCCAGCAAGCCCTATTGTAGTGCCTGTGCACTACAACTTCACCGCTTGCCGGACTGAAGAGACCTACCCCAAAACACATTACTTTCGCCTTTTCAATCTCTGTGCTCTTCTAAAGCTAACGCCGTGAGCGTACGTGGTTCGCAGCGACCCCTCCTCCTCCTCATTGAAGGGTGCCCGTGCTGCAGGCGGTGGAATATGACGGAGCCATACCTCTACGCCTCGGAAGGACCAATATTCTTTCGAGCCTGAAGACGTCTTCGTTGGCGGCGCCAAGCGCGAAGCAAAAGCGGGCAGCCTGTAAGGTGGTGAGCTGGCTCCCACGTGGCTTGATCTTCAGGCGTCCCGCGTCACTTCACGAGGTACTGGCCTGCATCTCTCGAACCGCGTTGGTCCATAATATCGTCAACTTCGTATTCCTCTGTGGGATTGGCTGCTGCATCGTGGATAGGAGTCCAGGCGGCGTCGGCTGCCGGGGGAACCAAAGCGGGAGGGCGGGGGCGGTGGGGAACTAGCTGCGAAACGTGGAAAACGTTATGGCATTCATAGGTGGGGGGCAGAGCGAGACGGTAAGCGACAGTTCCTATGCGTTCGATGAATTCAAAGGGTCCGCGGCAACGGGGCTCTAACTTAGGGCAGCTGTTGAAAGGCGGTAGGTGCTTGCTGCTGAGCCAGACCTTATCTTTCACCGCATACTCCTCCACTGCTTGGCGCTGTGTGTCTGGGTAGTACTTCTGCTGCCATTTCGCCTTCAGGATGTGACTCTGTGGTCTGTCGCAGAGCTGCTGGAAAAGCTTAGTCATCGGAGGAGTGAGCGTAGGAGCTAACGCGCCTACGATATGAAGGTCCGCAGCAGTCAACGGGTTCTCGTCAATCATGACCTCGAAGGGAGACAGCAAAATGAATGAATGACTTGTTGTGTTATAGGCAATTTCGAATAGAGGAAGCAAACGCTCCCACTCGCGTTCGTCAAATTTGATATAGCTACGAAGCATCTGGCTCAGTGTACGGTATAACCCGTTCAGTTTGGCCGTCGCTTTGCGGATGGTAGGACGAGGACATGCACGGTTTGATGTCAAAGCGGCTACAGAGTTGGTTCCAAAGATCCGCCTGGAAACGGGGGTCGCGGTCCGATATGAGCACCTCTGGAAAAGCGTGATAGCGGAAAAGACGGTTTGCGAGAAGCTCCACGGTGTGTGCAACTGTGAATGACTTCTTTGCAGGAACTAAATGAACCATCTTGCTAAGGGAGTCGACCATGAAAAGAATCGAGTCGCGCCCTGTCGTTGTAAGGGGAAGATCTGTGATAAAGTCCAGACTCACCTGCGCCCATCGACGAGAAGGGATAAGCAACTGTTGAAGAAGGCCTGCAGGCTTCTGGTTAAGATACTTTGACGCTCGACAGTGAGTTCATGACTCAACATAAGCAGTAGTGTAGGCGCGCATTCCTGGCCAGTAGTAGTAGTTGCTGAGAGCCGCAAAGGTCTTCTTCTGGCCTAGATGGCCGGCTGTGACATGGTCGTGATGTGAATGCAGAACCTGAGTAAAAAACTCACGGAATTGTGGGACGCACATGCGCCACAGTCCATGGACGCGGATGTGCAGGTAAGGCTCTACGTAGCGAAAGGTGAAGTGGGGATTACAAAACTCGATTTGCAGAGCTTTTCCTGGTTGGTTTGCTGCGACTTAGTTGGGAAGGCGAGAAACAGGACACTTCGAGTAGGCGTGCGGCCATTGGCGCACATCAGGAGGGTCAGCAGGTGTCTTCGTTGTGAGTGTAGGATGTTCCGTCTCTGGGTTGGATTCCGGCGGCGCAGATGAAAGTGCGGACAGCAGGCTGCGTTGTCTAGACCGTCGCGAACGAATGCCGGCGAGCTCCCTGTAGTTGACAGGCCGACCACGAGCGCGGGGATCTGCGCTGGCTTGTCCTATTGGGGGCATCACTGGTACCGATGGCGTGTTGTGCGAGCAGATGTCATGAAGACCGGGACGGCGAGACAAGGCATCAACAACTTGATTGCGCGCTCATTGAACATAAGTGATGTGCAAATCCGGGAACTCCGCAAGAAAGACTAGCCACCGGGCGGTGCGTCCGCGCAGAGGCTTCGATGCTTGGAGTCGTTGGAGATGCGTGAGTGCTTGATGATCAATGTAAGCCGTTACCTTGGAGACACGGAGCAAGTACGACCACTTGTCCAGTGCCATGACCAACGCCAAGAGTTTCTGAGCGTAGATTGAGTATCTCTGTTGCGTGGGGCTCATGACTTGGCTGAGGAAGCCGATGGGTTTGCCATCTTGCCGATCGCATAACCGGAGGCATCTGTCTATAATTCGAAGGGTTTCGTCGTGTCAGGGACTTGTGATGTAGTGAAGTCGATTAAGCGATGTTTGAGCTGCCGCACCGCTTGCGTGTGAAGCTCTGTCCATTCGAAACTGACGTCTTTACGCGTAAGATCAACCAGCGGCCGGGCAACGTCTGCATAATCCGGTCCCATGAACATGCGACACTAATTTATGGTACCGAGGAATTGGCTCACTTGCGTTTTGTTCTCCTGCACCTCGGGCCAATGCCGTATGGCTTCGATTTTTTCTTCTGCAGGTTTGATCCCCGCAGCAGATATTCTATAACGCAAATATGTAATTGTGTGCCTTGCAAACTTGCATTTGGGGAATTCTGGGTAGAACTGGTGTCTAATAAAAATGCTTAGGACTTGTCGCAGGAGAGAAAGGTGCCCAGAGAGATCGGAACTATAGAGAAGTACATCATCTAGGTACGCAATAACGCCCTGTCCCAATAAAGGTTGTAGATAGGCATTGATATTGGCCTGAAACGCAGCGGGAGCACCCTAAAGGCCGAAGGGCATTACTCGGTACTCGAATAGTCCCAGAACGGACCGGAAAGCTGTCTCCTACCGGTTTTCCTTAGCCATACGTATTTCATGGAGTCCTGCTTCAAGATCCAAGGTGGAAAAATACTTGGCGCCTCCCAGCATCTCTACAATGGTTTGAATGGGAGGTAGTGGAAAATCAGGGGCTATCGTAAGGGCATTTAGAGCCTGGGAATTGACAATGATATGCATCTTCCGCTCCCCGGAGACATCCTCACGTTTGTCCACCATGATCGTAGAAGAGCAAATTGGCGAATAGGTCGGTCCGATCCAACCAACGTCCGATAATTTAGCTATCTCCTGTTTGTGGAATGTGAGCTGATTTGGGGTCATACGGTATATTGCAGATTTCGCTAGAAGTTTTCCAGGCACAAGTAGAATTTGGTGATCACGAGGGCACTTCGGCGGTAATCCCTTAGGTTAGTTATCGGGAAAAGGCGCTCGATACTCGTCCAACACCTGGGCAATCTCACGTGGAATATCCTTCGCCTCTGGCGAGTTTATCCATTCGTCGACAAGAGTGTGTTCGAGTTGTGCCATAGGCCAGGGAGACCCCTCGTCACTCTCCGCTGCCACCGACGCGGTTGAGGCCAAAGGACTACGCCAGCCAGAGGACGTGGGTTGATTCCCAATTAACGCGCAACAAAGTGCGCCTTGCCATTCATCTGGGAACCTTAGGGGCACTGCCGGACCGGCTTCGGGCAAAGCCAGTATAAGATGCAAACCGTGCAATGGAGCCCTGAGATCCTCTGTGTCAGCCGCCGCCTGACGAACGAGCGACGTTATCCGCGCCTTCGCCATAGTCTTCGCGTGGGACTTATACCTCCTTGGAGGGGGACGTAGGAATATAGCTGCCTCCTCGGCTGACATACCCGCCAGTTGTTTGGCCAATATCTCATATGCTTGCTATGCTGCTGTCCTTGGGTGGACTACGGTGGGACTGTCACCTAGCAGCTTTGCTTCACCAGTCCGAACGACGGTAACTCGCACCACTGGCCATTCACATAGGTTCGAAGTTTGTCAAACTGAAAATACCAGGCCACCATGTGTTCGTCAGCCAATCCAAACCCAACACTAAGTCATAGGGAATGGGTCCCACTAAAAAGTCCCCGGAAAAACGTGCATGTCCGCACCACATCGTCAATCCCGTCACAACCCGATCAATGCGTAGTTGTGGACCTGTAGCTACGGTGAACCTATGCTCTTTTGGAAGTCTCCACACTTCCAGCTGCAGTCGTTCGACTGTTTTAGGACTAATGAAACTTCTCGAAGCCCCAGTGTCCACGAGGGCCTCACAAGGACTCCATGCGAGCTCAAGGCGAAGTACCGCCGTCGCAGCCACACAATACAACGCTCCCCCTTGGTCGTAAGACTCTTTCGTGCAAGTCTCCTTCAACCAGTGTGGCACAATCTCTGTCACGTCTGACCTATAGCCGTCTTCTGTTGCCTCTGCAGACTTCCTGCTGCTATCAGTCGTAGCGTCTGGAGTCTCTTCACTCAGGATCGACGCTGACCCAGATTCCCGCCGCGTTTCCGAAAGCGGCTAGTCCCTTCCGGGTGCCCATCGCTCGCATTAGTTATTTCCGCAGTGCGGAGGAGTTGGTTTTCCCAGTCAAGGGAGACTGGAATGGCATTAGGGCCTGTCGCAACCGCATACATCATCCGTTTGCCATGGCTACGCGGCCTAGAACGCTCGTCTCCAACCACGCCTAGGCCCGCATGTTTAATCGTTCCGTCTTCTCAGTGCTAGGACGGGTGGGCGCCCTACTGCTCTTGTCCATCGGCTCGCGCCGGCCTCGTTCATACGTAGGACAGTCCCAAGCATTGTGTCCCACACCGCCACACTTCTTGCATATTTCCCCCCGACGTTTGGTACATTCCCCTTTGCTGGGGAAGACACGTGCCGGATGTCCGGGACCCTGACACTCAGAGCAGTTCGTGTGGGTTCCCCGAGGGCGATTTTCAATTTCCTGGCGTCCACGGGGTCCACTACCTTGGATAGCAGCCTTAATGGCTCGACTGGTCTTTTCTCGGAGTTCCAGCACACTCTGCTTGGGCTCGTAGAGCCGTGTTGCGGCTGTCGCCGCTTGTTCCCACGACAGACATTTCACCTGTCCGTTATTGGTTATTAGAAGATGGAGGTCTGTCGGTAGCCCGGTGCAGTAATAGTCAGCCAGTTCTTCGGGGACAAGACCCAAACCACGCTGCGCTACAGCCGCAAACCGGTCCGTGTATTCCTTCGGGTTATCATTCCACCGTACTTTAGCAAGCTTCGTTAACAATTGACTCTGCGACATTGTTTTGTCGAACCCCTCCAAAAGCCTGCGCTATACCGTCGTCCAGTCGCTTGGGTCGATAATTCGCCGTAGATACATCCAGTACGTTAGAGCCAGGCCCACAAGGTGGCCTATAACTGCATTTCCCCACTCGCGCGGTTTCAATACCATCTGGGTGTACCGGCGCTGGGTGTGCAGCAGAAAGGCCTGCATAGTGCTGCCGTCTTCTGGTAGTATGGGAATCGTTGCGCTGGATTCCACGGTCTTCCCTATAACAGTTCTTATCACACTCATAGCTGACTGGAATTGGTCCCACGTGACGAAGGAACTGTCCCCTGGCATAACATTGGTCATAGGTATCACATGCAGTGGCGCCTCCTTATGCCCATGCGGCCCCTGTGCCACGGTGGGTTTCGGAGTCGCATGGCGATGATGGGCTGGCGTCCCACTCGGCATTTTGTTGACTGACATTGTAGAAGTCTCCTGCGGTGTGGGGCCGATAACGCGTCCGTTGCGGAGATGCATCACTTACCGAGCGAAGATTTCTAGGCGTGAGCTATTAAAACATAGTATTCCTACTCCCAAGTCCGGAAAGAACAAAGATTTCATTCCCGGAACAGCCACCAAGTGTAGTACACAGCGCCTACTGCTGCGACTACGTTGCTACCTGCCCCTCGAGAAGGGCCTATGATCGGCACCTAGCGTTGGCCCATATCCTTGAAACAGTAGCTTATATATATCGAAATACAGTTATTCTTCTGTTTCCAAAGTCTGTTGTTTTTCAATTCGCCCAACTCGGGGTGCTCGCCTCCTAGGCCCTGTGGGGAGGAGGTGTAGTGAACAGCTGGCCTACACTGGTAGTACGCATGGTCCCTGGGCTAGTCTGACTAAGTGCACACTCTGCATCTACTATCTAAAATCCATGATTCTCGCCAACCACTACTGTATACCCTAAATAGCCATATACAATTGAGTTCATATTACTGAAAGGTAAGAAAACCCAAAATAATAGAACTGACTGTTGACCCTCGCTGAGGGTCAGTGCCTGAGTCATGGCACCAACCTCGCATCCAGCCCCATACCCGGTGTTGGCTAGCGAGCTCACTATTCCCTTTTATAATTTCCCAATATCTAATGGTGCCTTTTACCTTAAAATATTCTATATTATTCATGCCCCTTCGCGTTACTAAGCCTCGAGGGGTGGCGACGAAGGTCAATTGTAGTGCCTGGCACTACAACTTCCCCCGTGCTAACGAACAGAAACCGCTTGGCGGTTTTTCAGGTTCCGGCCCTTCTCTTCTCCTCATTCTCTCCGTTCATCACGCTTCACAACAATCTCGGAACGTCCCACACGTCAGGGGCTGTGGGGCCATTGGCTAGTACGTCAAATCGGCCGACCTTCTAGGGGGTGGGCCGGCCTTCCCTGACTAGGAAATAGGTGTTCACGAATCTCGGCAGGTGCGTTATCATTCTCCGACCATTCTTACTCCTTACCCAGCCCTTCTACTAGTAGACGTCGGTGTCCTCGGACGTCCTGTAGTGCACTAGTAGTCGTCTAGCCCTCCCTTAACGTGATACTAGTGACATTAGTTCCTTGAAGGTAAGCAGCTGGCAGAGTCTTGGATTGTAAGGTGCTCCTGCACCCCTTCCCCCCCTTCCCAGGACGAGAACGGGCGGGCGAACGCGTATAAAGAGAAAGGGGCGAGAGCAGCGGAAAGGGAAGAAAAAGGAGAAGAGGAAGAAGAAGAAGAAGAAGAAGAAGAAGAAGAAGAAGAAGAAGGAGAAGAAGAAGAAGAAGAAGAAGGAGAAGAAGAAGAAGAAGAAGAAGAAGAAGAAGGTCGTCAGGATGGATGGCGTTTGCGCTGGCGGCGCCGGCACGCCCGAAGTAAGGCGGGACACCCTGCCAAATGATGTGCGGGTTCCCATGTGGCCTTTTCCTCGGGAACACCCCGCCACTTAACAAGATAGTGCGCCTCCTCTCCAGTCCCTTTTTGTTCCAGGATATAGTCGACAAGATACTGGTCCGTAGGGTTGCCGGCGTCATCGCGTGTTGGTGGCCATTGGAGCTTCGTGTGGAACTAAAGCGGGATCGCGGGGATGATGTGGGACCAATTGTGAAACATGAAAAACATTGTGTCCCTCGTATGTGGGGGGCAAAGCAAGACGGTAAGCGACCTCGCCAATGCGTTCGGTCACTGTGAAGGGCCCACGGTATTTAGGTTCAAACTTAGAACAATGGTTAAGAGCAGGTAAGTGTTTGCCACTCAGCCAGACTTGGTCGCCCACCTTGTATTCCACAGCCCTGCGGCGGGCGTCAGCGTAGTATTTCTGACGCCACTTTGCCTGGAGGATGTGGCTCTGTGCGCGATCGCGGAGCTGCCGGAAGAGTTTCGTCATAGGGGGAGTGAGCGTAGGAGTCAAAGCACCAACAATGTCTAGGTCCGCCGCGGTTAAGGGATTCTCCCCAATCATGATTTCGAAAGGGGAAAGCTCAGTAGAGGAATGACTGGTGGTGTTATAGGCTAGCTCCAAGGCAGGCAGCAGGCCTTCCCACTCCCGCTCATCTGCCTGGATGTACGTGCGTAGCATCTGTTCAAGGGTGCGGTTAACTCGCTTGGTCTGGCCATCCGTTTGCGGGTGGTAAGAAGAAGACATCGCCCGGGTAATATTGAAACGTGAGCACAATTGCGACCACATTTCGGATGGCGTCGTGCCCAGTGGTAGTGAGGGGTAAGTCAGTGACGAAATCTAGGCTAACATGGCTGCACCGGCGAGAGGGAATAAGCAGCTGCTGTAAGAGGCCGGCGGGTTTCTGATTGAGGGATTTGGATGCGCGACACTGCGTGCAGGACTCCACGTACGCGTTGGTGTAAGTACGCATGCCAGGCCAATAGTAATGCTTGCTGAGGGCCTTGTAGGTCTTCTTTTGGCCTCGATGCCCGGCGGTGACGTGATCATGATGCGTGTACAGGACGTGATTGAGGAACTCTGGAAATTGAGGCACGCAAATGAGCCAGAGACCATTAACGCAGATGTGTTAGTAGGGCAGAACAAAACGGAAGGTATGACGACGATGTTGGAACTCCAGTTGAACAACTTCACCCGGCTTGGTAGAGGCAGCGTTATAAGGCTCGCTGAACACAGGGCACTTAGAATACGCTGCCGGCCAGTCGAGGACGGGAGAACTGGGCGTAGGTGTTGGGTCTGCCGGCGTGGGACAGTCTCTAGCGTAGTGATCCCGGCCCCCACACCTGGAGCACGTTTCCCCAATCCGTCGCGTCGCTCCATTGCGGAGCGGACAGTCCCTGCTCACATGTCCCCTTCCGCTGCACGCGTAACAGCGTGAGTCTGTAGGGTCATTCCGTCTGTTTCCCCTGCTCTCTCGTTCGCGCTGTAGACACGGCTCTCGCCCCCCGTTAGCCCATCTACGCTTGGCATCCTCTAAGTCCCGCTGGAATCGGAGGCGGTCTTCGCATGAATCCCTCCATGGTGCCGCCGTGGTAGCCAGTGCTGCGGCTGCTTCCTGCCAGTCCGCCAATTTCCTTGTTCCCCCTCGAGTTATCTCCCGGTATATTTCTACCGGCAGGTTGGCCAAGTAGTAACCCACCAACAGGTCTGGTGCCATCGATACCCCTTGGGCCACGATAGCCGCAAAACGCGCGGAGTATGCTTGGTGATCACCCCGCCATACATTCTCCGCTATCATGACTTTCATCCGTTCCTTTGTTATGTTACAGAATTGCGCACAGAATCGCTGTCTCAGTTGCTCCCAATCAGTCAGGGGTACTCCCGTGCGACGCAGATACAACCAGTATCCCAAGGCGTCGCCCGTCAGATATCTTTTGAGTTCTTCTCCCCACTGCCGCTTTTCCAGCCCTCGTTCGATGAAATCTAACTCCACAAGGTCGAGGAAATTCCTCATATTCTTGCCGTCCTCGTACCCAATGGACCTCTGGGACGTATGCACTAACCCCGTGCCATCTGAGAGGCGAATTGCCGAAAGAACTCGGCCATTCCCGGTTCCATCCAAGCTTGATTCATTTCGGGTTCCTTGCGTCCTCCAACGTCGCGGTCCCGGTTTCTCGGTATCGGTCGGCCTACCCCTGCGATGGGCTGGCTGATGTCGCGACCGGGTTCTGTTCGTTTCGATTCAATAGGGTGCCCCGCGGTTTCTTTACTTGATACAACTATATTCGGCTTTCCTGCGTTTGGTTCTGGTGGAGGTTGTACCACTTTTCCGTTGCGTAGGTGCATGTCCATCCCCGTCTTCACTTAGGTACGGAGGTCACTTCAGATTTTGCGAGAGAGAAAGGAAAGGATCTTCCCCTGTAAAACAAGCTCGATAATTTACCCAATTTACTTTGAATTTTATATCCCGGAGCAGCCCCCAAATGTAGTGAACAGCGGACCTGCACTGTTACCACGTATGGTCCCTGGGCTAGTCTGACTTAAGTGCACACTCTGCACCTGCTGTCTAAAGTCCATGATTCTCGCCAACCACTACTGTATACCCTAAATAGGCATATACAATTGAGTTCATATTATTGAAAGGTAAGAAAAACCCAGAATAATAGAACTGACTGTTGACCCTCGCTGAGGGTCAGTGCCTGAGTCACGGCACCAACCTCGCGTCCAGCCCCATACCCGGTGCTGGCTAGCGAGCACACTATTCCCTTTTATGATTTCCCAATATCCAGTGGTGCCTTATGCCTTAAAATATTCTATATGTTTCATGCTCTTTCGCGTTACTAAGCCTCGAGGGGTGGCGACGAAGGTCAATTGTAGTGCCTGGCACTACAAAAGTCCTATCACTCCCCTTTATCAATATGTTATCTTTACTCACATCTTTATCGCCGTGGATTGTGGGAGACATTCTTTGCTGCAGCGTGATGCATGTGAAGCTGCATCCAGTGAAAATAATAGGACACAACTGCACAGGCGAAACTAAGCTGCGTCCGCGACTGGACAATTTGCCTGTTGGCCTCTCGAAGGTACACTTGTGTCACTGTGGGACTAAGATGACCTCGTACAAATGCATATTAGTGACTGTGGATTGCAGTTGGATTGAACGACTAACACTAAGGGAATTTGATTTTGGCTATTGCACTGTCTTTCACCCAATGGCTTCGATATTTCTTTGAGTGATGCACAAAAAAATGTTCCTGTACATATATGCACTTTGCCTCTGTAAAGAGCTGCAAACCTGATTGATTCAGGGAAAATTGAGACTCAGAGATTGGGGAGCACAGCAGATTGAATTACCAGGAATTGAGAAGACAAGAAGACCACAGGAGCGTGAATGAGTCTGCGAAAGCACGCTCAGCTCTTCATCCGTTACCCGTCGTCAGTTTCACCCTTCCCGCTTTTCTTGGGTTATCACTTACCGTGAGCCTAGTCGCAGTTCCTTGCCCTCCTTCTCCATTCCCATATTCCGCCCTTACTTTTGTCAGGTCTCTTTCCTCGTTGTCTGTCTCCGCGGGTTTCCTGCAGTTGTTCCCACATTCCTAGCCCGTCAACGCACCACCAGCCTCGCGGCTCTTCCTAGTGGTAGGTATCCTTGCACCTGAATATCCCACTGTGCTACAGATATTTTTAGGTTCTGCAGCGGAGCATTCCTGGAACCGATAGGAAAAGGAACATCAGATGACGAGGCGCGCAAACAGGAAGAAGGCGTATGCTTACACTAACGAAGACCTCTCTTCAGGCTTAACAACAACAAGAACACTGAAATGGCTCTCCTAATGTCATGCAGTCAACGAGGAACGCCAGTATCCTGATCAGGGTCCTGTCATCTTTGTCGTTAGACGAGGTACACAATGAGGAATCACTACAAAGAAGAATATTTCCGGAGTTTGGTGCTCAAGGCTGAAGTCGCAAAACAGCATTACATCCCTGATTCACCCAGAAGAGCTGGCAGGGTTGACTCCTATGACATTATTTTAAGGACGGATAAGGCTAGTCTGCTGGTGGCAAAGTGCCCTTGGAAGGCGAAGCAAACATTAGACAGTGGATAAGTAATGTCTAAAACTGTTGAAATGTGTTCACTACAGGGTTAAAGTGTAGGCGTAAAAGTGTAGATAGAGTGATAGAAAGCCAGTAGTTGCGTTGTAGCTGCAGCCTTTGGCTTTGAAATGATTCTCGATAAAAACACAACATATTGTGCAGCACTTTATCCGTTTACATAGGCTGGTGATGCTGAGATGCCTCGTGCATATCACCCACAAATAGCCTCACGCCAACTGCTGCATTCCACGGTTTATAAAAATGCTGTACCGATGTCGCCTGTTTTATTACTCTACTGCACCTATAAATTAAGAAGCCATCTGCCGAGGGGCCTCACTCTTCTATAAAGCCAATTATGGGAGTGACGATCACAAAATATCAGGATACGTTAAGCGAGCCAACATCGAGGGCGACCACAGACAACCCAAAAATCAATCTCAGCAATGGATTTTAAATCGAAGTTTGTAGGAAATTTAACGAATCAATGCTATTTATGTAGTTGTTAATTTCTTCATACTCCAAGTGCCGAAGCCTCAAGCAGGGTAAAAGCTCTAGAACCCGAGGCCCTTCAGAGGCACCCCATATTATAGCCAGGCTAGGGTGGCGTTCATTACAGATTGAACAAACATAGGACGCCACGCCTTCATGAGTCCAACATCAAGGGGTGATCAGGCCGCAGGACGATGTGAATCCCCATCGCAACAAAATGGCAGGTATTATGTGTCCTCTGCAATATCGCTAGTCGCAACAATTTCCCTGCTGTAGTTCCAGGTTTCAGAAGTATTTCTCACATTATGCTACTGTCCTCATCTGGGCTACAGGAATCGTGGTACGGAGAAGCACAACTAGCTGTGAGGAATCACTTTTATATAAAACCGAGACATGGAGCTGTGACATACACAGCGCGGCACGCTAAAGGCAATTTGCAAAAGGAAGGGAAGGTCCAGCGAGCCATTCAGGAAGGAACAGTTCCATTAATATGAAAAACTGAAACCGAAAGACCGAAGTCCTTCTTGTCTGCAATTCCGATGCAATAGCATTCAAGATTCGTGCCCTCAGTACACAGGTCCCGTTCCGTGGTATTTCGGTCGTAGAAAAAAGTATTGTTTTCTTGCGCGCAAGTCAGCGGTGACTATTTGCCCTTTTTAGCAATGAGCCTGTTTACACAGCAGATGGAAGTGCTGTGGCGAGCGTTTGTTACCCCAGTCTGAGAAGCGTCTTAACTTGCCTTTGATAACTCAACAAGCAGCTTTCAACTACAGGCAGAAGTCTGCGCATGGATTATAAAAAAGTGTAGTGATTCTTTCTCACCACGGTTCAAAGGGCAGCCGGGTCAGTTTGCCGTTAACGCGTTAATGCTTTTACTTCACTGCTGAGAATTTCTCTAAAGCCTGCCGTTGGCCCTGAGGTAGTCGAGTTCCCCACTCAAATTCCTTCATTTCCTCTTATCAACAGTTTAAAGAAGACCTCACGTCGGTGGCATCATCAGCGGAATATCATTCTATTTCAACTCTATCTTCAGGAAAACAACACAAAAGCTTTAGCAGCTCGTTGCGCCTGATACGTTCGTGTGATTTATCAGTGTCCTTGAACCGTGTAATGGGGAATTTTCGCCAAATGAGTCGCTGAGAAATAGATGAAGAACCGAGGGACTGCTTGGGTTCTCTGTTAGGCCTTCTGAGATATGAATACCATGAACGGTTGAAAATTTGAAGTTCTATCCTTTTGAAAAACACTGAGGGTGCCAGCACCTCGTTACATCTCGTTAGATGGTCTTTCCACTGATATTGTTTGGACTCAGATGGAAGTAGGACGCATCAGAAGAGCCCTACCACCCATGTTCAGGCTGAAGATCAGCAGGAATAACTACAGTTTATACCTGTGCTGTGGATTACCTGTATTCAGCAGGGAAGTCTGTATTTTTGAAGACTTCACCAGCGGGCAACTGAAGCCTGTACTCTATGCATGTGGCATTCACCAGCTTCTCTCAATCAGGCATTACCAGGGTGTTCGTCTAAGGAACATGCATGTTCAGCAAACTTTCAGACGATTGTAAGCTCTAGACGAATGGACTGGCTGCACAATGGTGAGCTGAACTCATCTTTCAGGACTCAGCTGTTACCCATCGTACCCCAGATCGGCCGCTAGGGCACCATGAATCCTTCGGCCGGGCCCCTAATGCCAAAGGCCGTTTGTTTTAGTGCTTATAGAGCGCTCAGAAACTCATTCTGCGGTAGGCGTTTCACAGGGAGTAGAATTCCTTGGATGAGGACTAATATACTCAATTGAGCAGGTGAAGTGGAAGCACGTTCCGCAGAAGCCAGTGAACAATGGGAAAAACACGCCACTGCGTTGAATGGCCACAGGCGCACTTTGTTCAAACCAGCGAACAAAACGATGCTTCGTGGGACTCTCTCAGGAATCAGCCTACAAACTTTGACAGATATCAATGCGTTCTGTGCACTTTATTTGACGCGTTGGAGCTGTCAACTTCTATTTTTCCCTAATAGTTTGTTTTCCAATGATGAAAAACGTTCAGCCTGCTTGAGCAGCTTTGCTTAGTGTTAGCAGGCAACCATCAACTCTCGAACTGAAGCCCTTATGCATTTTAGGGCCCTCTTGTTTTCTATCATTCACAGAGCAGCGAGGCGGAAGCAATCTTCGATTGGTGTAGAAGTAGCAGCCATGAAGTCCTTTAGACACGGAATTCCGGCAGAGCAGCTGTCGTTAGCGACCTTCAAAACCTGCAAAACATACAACAAAGGTAATTTAATTGATATCACAGTTTAAATTGTTGCTGCCAAAAGTTACAACAACATTGAAACAGTAGTAAGGGGAGAAGGCTGAGGCAGCTGCTGCGTACCGAGCAAGCCAATGAAGTGCAAGAGGAATCCTCGGGAGAAACTACAACGCAGAAACAAAACTTCACATATATGCGTTCTTGCCTACTGTTGAAGTTCTGGGCTATTTCGTTATTTTAAGGCTCATGCCAGCTAGCCTTGCCGAACCCGTTAACCCCACTCAGCAACTCTCTTAGTTATCAAACAATGAAAGCCTCCATGGGTTCTGGGATATTTCGTTGCTTTATGGCTGAAGTCGACTAGCTAGGCAAGCCGGCTTGAGCTTTAACACAACGAAGTGTCCCAGAGCTTCAGCAACAAGCAAGAATGTCCACATGTGAATAAAGTTTCTCATAGTCACGAGAAAGCGCGTAAGAATGAGGAATACTCACGCTTTTCGATTTGCGCAGGCAATGCTACTCCTTTGGTTCTCACACAGTACTCGTACAAGACCTGCAGATCTTTCTCGGAAAAGATGCCAAGGGGATTTTTCAGTTGGTCAACGATGTCTTCGTTTTTTTCTTTCGACTCTTGCAGCTGCTCGCTGCTTGCCTGGGCTTTGAGGGGCCCCTCAGAATCAGAAGTAGTGTCTTTGGAGGAAGACACTGCAGAGCTTTTTTGGGACTTGCTAGCTTTCATGGCTTCAAGCAAAAAGAGCATGTAAGCTCTCGCGTTCTTAGGCCGCGCCTCCAGAACGCGAATGGCCAAATTCTGCAAAAGGCAGCAGCAGCAGCTCTTCTTCAAAGCTCAGCAGGGACGCTCGAAATAACAGCTTGAATTATAGAGCCGTATTTTTAGTAAAAAATAATGTTTGCGATTTAATAGAGTATCTGCAGCGAAGCCTCCAGTGCTGTTCTAGCCCATGCTGAGCATTTTGGCTTAAACGAGGGCTTCTAGACACCGCTTCAACAAGAGAAGAAAAGCTTTGGCTTTTTCTTTAAGCTGATTTTCACAGAGTGGCTTTTTGCTGCCTTCTACGCTGTCTACTCCGTTGAGGCCTTGAAGACCAAATGTACCTTCAGCAGCCGAATGATGTCGTTTTTTTTGGCGTAGTTTAGAGCTTCTGCCTTTGACAGCAGACTGCTTTCATCAGCGGTGTTCTGCGCCTCTAGTTTGCTTCCCGAGAACTCTGCGCAAAAATGGTCCCCGCAGAATGGCTCGGCTGAGACTTAAGAAGCACTAAGCAGCCAGTTTGCTGCAGCAGGTAGGTCAGGAAAACGGTAGCAGACAGCCCCTGGGGTGCAGGGAAGGCAGCATTGCATGCATGCAATCCTGCATGCGTGCATGCAGGATTGCATGCATGCATGCATGCAGTGGGATTGCAAACATGCAATCCTGCACGCGTGCATGCATGCGTGCAAGCATGCATGCAGTGGGATTGCATGCATGCAATCCTGCACGCATGCAAGCATGCATGCAAGCATGCATGCAGTGGTGTCTTCTGCATGCATGCAGGGGAGTGAAGTGTACCCCTGCTTCCCCAGTCGTCGTCAGCGGCTTTCTGTCTGCTTCTGCGCCAAGCCCGTTGTATCAAAAAGGCACTCCACCACTCTTTGAGTCTCTGAAGCCCAAGTGGAATATTTTCCTCTTGTGTTTCTTTTTCGCTGGGGTCTTCGTGGGTGGGCCGGGGCGTAAAGCCTTTGCCGACCTTTCCCGCCCTCACCATTTTGCAGCAGCAGCAAATAAGGGCTTGAAGGCAAAAACAGCTTGTAAGAAATTCAAGTTTTAGTAAAGTGCTTTCTGGGAAAGCGACTCCACGCAGATCTAAAGCAAATTAAGTTTCCGTTGACAGCCAAAAGAAATGAAGTGCAAATGCCTTGGCCGCTGAAGCTGTACAGACAGTAGATCGCTCACTGAAGGAATAATAAAACCTTCAGTGCGCCATTACTGTCTTACTTCTACTTTTTATAAACCCTAGACTGCAAACATTAAACCCTAAACCCTAAACCCCAAACCCTAAGCCCTAAGTAGTTCCGCGAGATCTACGGCAGCATCTTTCGCGGGACCGATTAGTCATCGCAAATGAGTCTTGAATAAATTTAAGTTTTATTTTTAAATAAAAACAGAAAAATAAGAAGTTCAAATAATTGGAATTCCCGCGGAGTTGTTCTGTGTCAGGCCACAGGGCTGCGGCGGCCGCCTGAAGACTAGCTGGGCTGCGATGCTGGAGTTCATTTTTCACGAAAACTGCAATTAAAGCCTTTTTTAAAAATGAAAATGAGAAATATATTCAAATATTTATAAATATTAAATTAAAAAGGAAAAATGTGACGGCCTTTCTGCGAAATCAGGCGCATGCAGAGTCCGTACGGGTGGCTTTGCAACTTGAACAGATGAGAAGATCGCCCAAATTAACCGGCAATTGAAGCAATTAAGAACTACTTTTATTTATTTTTAAAATTAAAATCAATTTAATTATTTTAAATTCAAATGCTGGAAAGAAATGCAGTCCCGACTTCGTTTCTGAACTCCCCCGCTCTCTCGCAGCGTGCAAGTTCGCGGATTCAGACTGAACGAATTTTTTTTCTGATATTTTCTTTGATTATAAAAACCAGAAAACTAAAAAGAATTAAAAAGAAAATAAAAAACAAATTCAATAAACCCCAGCTCGCCCTGCTACAGCCAACCTAAACCCTAAACCCTAGAAAACTGCAACCTGCTGCACTAGCTACTGCTGCTGCTGCACTTGCTGCTGCTGCTGCTGCTGCACTTGCTGCTGCTGCTGCTGCTGCACTTGCTGCTGCTGCTGCTGCTGCACTTGCTGCTGCACTTGCTGCTGCTGCACTTGCTGCTGCTGCAGCACTTGCTGCTGCTGCTGCTGCTTAGCAGCAAACGGAGGAATAGGCGCAAACTTAGAAGCCAAAGAAAGTCGGAAGAAACTAAAGAGTGAAGTTTCGCGCTCAGCAAACACGAAAACAAAATGCGAACAGATTTCCCTGAAGAAGAAATTGGAAACTTTTTCAAACAACAAGACAGAAAATTAAGAAATTAACTTAGAATAAGTGCTGCATTCAAGCTGCTTCCTCCGCTGCTGCTGCTGCTGCAGCCTCCTCCTCTGCTGCTGCTGCTGCTGCTGCAGCAGCAGAAGCACCTTCCTGTTCTGCGGATTCGGCACCGGCTTCCTCAACGGCCTGCTGCTGCTGCTGCTGCTGCTGCTGCTCTGCTGCTGCTGCCTCCTCGTCGGCTGCTGCTGCTGCCTCCTCCTCTGCCGGTGCCTCTGCTGCTGGCTCTTCCTCAGTTGCTGCTGCTGCTGCCTCCTCCTCAGATGGTGCTGCTGCTGCTGCCTCTTCCTCTGAAGGTGCTGCTGCTGCTGCCTCTTCCTCGGATGGTGCTGCTGCTGCTTCCTCCGCGGCTGCTGCTTCTACTGCTGCAGCTGCTTCTCCTGCACATGGTGCTGCTGCTGCTGCTTCCTCAGCTGGTGCTGCTGCTGCTGCTTCTTCCTCAGCTGGTGCTGCTGCTGCTGCTTCTTCCTCAGCTGGGGCTGCTGCTGCTGCTTCCTCCTCAGCTGGGGCTGCTGCTGCAGCCTCTTCCTCTGCTGCTGCTGCTGCTGCTGCAGCCTCTTCCTCTGCTGCTGCTGCTGCTGCAATTGCTTCCGCTATTTCCTCTGCTGTTGCAGTTTCCACAGGCACCTGATCTAATGCTTCCTCAGCAGCAGCTGGCTGCTGCACAGGGCGCTGCAGCACTTCAGCAACTTGATCTCTTCCGGCAGCTGCAAGGACAGAAAGCGGAAGCAAAAAGCGGATTGTTGCAAAAAATAAAAGCAGAAAAGTAAATTAAATATTAAAACAAATAAATAAAACAAGAAAGCATTCTAATCGGTGGTCAACTCACGGATTTCGGAAACCTCAGAGCCGTCTTGAGATGCAAACGCGCCTGCGCAGAACAGCGGCAGAAATTACTTGCAAAAGAGAAACTTCAGCGAAATTATTCAAAAAAATGAAAATAAATTATTAAATAAAAGAAAAAAAGCTGCAAATAAACTTCGGAGTGAAGGTTGAAAGCAAAGAAAGCGAGAGGTTTGTGCATGAACTTGAACTCGGCTGCTGCCCGAGCCCGCGCTGTGGAGAAGCGCTTTTTGGTTCGAACAAAAACCAGAAAAGAGGAAAAGAAAAAATATTAATTTAGAAAATAATTTAAAGAACTTTCTGCGGAAGATGAAGGAGTTGTGGACTGAAGAAGGATTCACCTTGAGCTGCCGCGCCCAGCAGCGCGGAGGTAGCGAGGACCTTGAAGAGAGAACGCATTGTGGAAAGCGGCTTCAAATGCTCAGGTGAGAGGCAAAAGTCAAACTCTAAACATTAAAATGCATTAAATTAACCAAACTGTTGAATTTAATTCGCGTTTCTGCGAATAAACTGCACCCGAGGCCGCGCACCTGAGCAGCAGACAGGGGCGTGGGCAGCAGTCCCGCTGCGCAAGGTGCCGTGCGGGGGGCCGCCGCCCGCCGCTCCAAACCCCTCTTTCGCCTTCTAAACCCTTTAAATTTAATTCGCTTTCGTTTTAAAAATATAATTTTAAATTTTAACTTCGAAATTTTCGCGCAAAGGCCCGCATCGCGCAGCTTTCGCGCGGCCGCCGACTCGGCGCAGTAGTCCCGCGCCCGCCCGGCGCTGCCCGCAGCCAGAGCGGTTCAGGCCTCGTTCCCAAACACTGGACCTAAAACTCAGAAATTAAATCTTTTTTTGAATTACAAATTGATTTAGATTTCACTTTAGATCTTAATTTGCGTTTTTGCGGCGAAATTCAATTCGAAATGCGCCGCGGAGCTCCCCAGACAGGGCGGCCAGGCGCGCTCCCGGGCAGCAGCTTCCTCTTGAATATTTTGCCACTTTTCCCCTTTTTCTTTTCCTTTTTCGATCGCTTTCTTCTTTTCTGCAGTTTTTTGGAGTTTTTTCAAAGAAGATGAGGAGTAGAAAGCCTTAGATGAGTTGCTGCGCGCCGCAGCGCCTCCTGAGTCGCGGCTACATTGAAATCGAACCCTTTGCAGATTCTGAAAAGTTGAATTTCTAAACTCCAGCCCTCTTTTCAGCCAAAAGCCACTCCAAAAAAAGCAAAATAAAACCCTAAAATCATTTATAAATGATAAATTAGAATTGTTTGCGAAAAACGCAGGAGAAAATGGCCTGCTTTCGCGAAACAAGGTGTACACGCCTCGTTTCTAGTTCTTGAATATTTTCTTGTTATTTCTTATTTCTTTTTGCTCATTTAGTTTCTTTTATTCTTTTAAAAATAAATTTAAATCTATTTTTTATTTTTCACGGATTTTATGCGCCACTATTTCGCTTTCCTTTCGTTTCCGCCTTTCGCAGCTTCCCCCTGGGACCGCAGTAGACAAACCCTAAACCCTAAACCCTAAACCCTAATTTCTAAATCCTGAGCCTTATTATTGCCTCAGCGATTTACCGGAGAAGTAAAACCCCAGAAGATTCTTCTGCTAGGGTTTAGGGTTTAGGTCGGAGCCTCTAGGCGCAGGAGAACTCCGACTAGGGTTTAGGGTTTAGGGTTTAGGGTTTAGGGTTTGTGAGTGTGGGTCCGCTGGAGCCGCATGCAAACATTCTGCTGCAGCTGAAGAGGCATTTCTTGAAAACATTTTTAGAAATGTTTTTAAAGAAATGATTAATTAAAAGCTGCAGCAAAATGCATTTGACTAAAAACAAATTCAAAAAAAGAAAAAGAATTAATTTGCAAACGAGAGAAAACGAAGCGGCGACTCTAAACCCTAATTCAGGGTTTAGGGTTTAGGGCTCAGTTCCTGCCAAACCCCCTCTCAGCTGCAACACTAAAAACTTCAAACAACCCCACCTTCGCCCTCTCTAGGGTTTAGGGTTTAGGGTTTAGGGTTTAACTACTTTCCAGTTTTTTTTGGCGCCGCGGCGCACCAAATAAAACCCTCGTCCGCACACATCCCTCCCTAGGGTTTAGGGCCTAGGGTTTAGGGTTTAGGGTTTAGGGCCTAGGGTTTAGGGTTTAGGGTCTCCGGGGCAGTATTCGCTGAAAGTGACTCTTGAGGGATTTCCTCTTCTCAAATTTGTTTTTCTTTTTTCTTTTCTTTCCAATTCCGAGGAGTCTTCGGGATCTCCTAAAAGAATAAAAATAAAATAAATAAAATAAATAAAATAAATAAATGAAGTAAAATATAAATAAATAAATAAATAAATAAATTAAATTAAAATAATGATAAATAAAAGAATGAAGAATTGAAAAGAAATAACTAAATGGGAAAACAGAACAAGGAGGAAAAAATAGCAAAAAGAAATAATTAATAAAATGAAAATAAAATAAATTGAATAACAAAAAGTGAATAAGAATAGTAAATACTTAAAAACAAATAATACAGAAATAGTTTAAAAAAGAGAAAAGAAATAAACAAAAACAAAAAATTAAAATGAAATTAAATAATAAAAGAAATAAATATATTAAATGGAATGAACAATAACAAATAAAATAAACTAAACTAAAATAAAATAAAATAAATAGAATTGAAAAAAATAAAAAAGATATGAAATAAAAGAAGGAAAAGAATGGGGTGTACGTACACCTGAAGAACAAACAAGGACTCTTTTAAAGCGCTGTAGCCAACAAATATTAAATGCAAAAGAGTATTAATTTATATTTATTTATTTACATTTATTTATTTATATTTATACTTATGCATTTATCTGCATTTATATTTATATTTATTTATTTATATTTAGTTATTTATATTTACTTATTTTGATTTCTAAATTTACAAATTTAGATAATATATTTGTAGAAGTGCAAACAGAAAAAGACTTTTTAAAAAGAAAATTTTGAATTTCTTTTTTAGAAAAAAAAGAACAAAAAGAATAATTAATCAAATTAAATTAAATTAACTTAAATTAAATTAATTAAATTAATTAAATTAAATTAAATTAAATTAAATTAAATTAAATTAATTAAAAATGCACTTTTTGTTTCTGCTGCTCGCGAGTACTGCCGGTTGGAAATCCAAAAGGCGAAGGTGTTGGGGTCGGTGGGAGTTGTTTCTGGATGTCTTGCTGCTGCTGCTGCTGCTGCTGCTGCTGCTGCTGCTGCTGCTGCAGCAGGCGCTGCTGCTGCTGCTGCTGCTGACGAGGGCTTCGGAGGGTCCATGTAAATCGGCGACTCTATCAGCATGCGCTGGTAGTCTGCGCGCAAAACCCCAAACCCTAAACCCTAAACCCTAAACCCTAAACCCTAAACCCTCGCCTGGAGGCCTCGAACGGCTCAACGGGGAAAAAGATAAACGCAAAAGATGAAAACAAATCAATTCAAAACTCCATCTTTAGGAAGTTTCTCGAGTTCAAAAAACATATATTAAAACAACAAACTCGACTAGGGTTTAGGGTTTAGGGTTTAGGGTTTAGGGTTTAGGGTTTATTTTGTCAAGTGTCTACCGAATCCCAATCAATCAACTCAAACTTTGAGACAAAGCAAAAGAAAGCTACAAACAGATACCCCACGGTTCAGGATTCAGGGTTAGGGTTTAGGGTTTAGGGTTTAGGGTTTAGGGTTTACCTCTTTGCCAATATTCGGATTTTTTGGCTTCTACAGGTTCTCGCTCGCAGGCTATTAGAGCTTCTCTGCGAGCAGCTTTTTTGCTGAGGCAAAACACAAGGGTTTAGGGTTTAGCACTTCATTAGGGTTTAGGGTTTAGGGTTTAATTAGGGTTTAGCACTTAATTAGGGTTTAGGGTTTAGGGTTTAGCACTTGACCAGGGTTTAGGGCTTAGGGTTTAAGACTTCATTGAAATCTATCCGAATGTTTCTTCAAAGTAAAACAAACAAACTATTTAAAAATGAGGGTTTAGGGTTTAGGGTTTCAGGGCACAACTAAATAAAAAGAATTATTAATTCAATAATAAATAAATAAATAAAATAAAAAATAAAAATAAAAAAATAAATAATTGACAATCAAGTTAGAAGGGATACAGATGGCCAAAAAGTAAAGAGTGAGGAGGAAAAGGTCAAGAAACCCTAAACCCTAAACCCTAAACCCTAAACCCTAGGCAGATGAAAAGCAGGTATAGGAAGGGGAAAAAAGAAAAGCAAAACCCTAAACCCTAAATAGAAAGTCAAAAAGAAAAAAGAGAAATAGTCCTAGCCAAAACCCTAAACCCTCAAAAAGAAATAATTCCAAAACAAAAAGGAAGCCAAAAAAGCGCAAGACGCCCCCGAAACCCTAAACCCTAAACCCTAAACCCTAGAAAAGCAAGGGAACAGAGCAAGGACGCGAGATATCGAAAAACGAAAAAAGACAAGAAAAAAACCCGCCCAAAACCCTAAACCCTAAACCCTAAACCCTAGAAAAGTAGCCGAACCAGAAAAGATAGCGAGAAATGGAAGAAAGAAAAAAGCAAGAAAAAGCCCCGCCCAAACCCCGCAACCAAATACCCCAAACCCCAAACCCTAAACCCTAAACCCTAAACCCTAAACTCTAAACGGACCGGGTTTTTTCGGTGAGTTGCAGCAGCAAATTGGTGTTTGTCTTGAGGGCTTTCTGCTGCAGCAGCAAAGCTGTTTGTCTTTTATTTAATTCTTTTGTTAATTCTTTTATTTCTTTTTCAATTTCTTTTTCCAATTTGCTGCTGCGCGCCGAAAGCTCTTTTTGCTTCGACGCCAGCGCTGCATGCGCCTGCGCACAAACCCTAACTATTTAATTAATTAATTAATTAATTAATTAAATTAATTAATTAATTATTTATTTATATTAATTAATTAATTAATTAATTAATTAATTAATTAATTTACTTTATTTGTTTGTTTGTTTTGTTTGTTTGTTTTATTTGTTTTTTTAGATTCCGTGGGGTTTCATTTTCTAGGGTTTAGGGTTTGCGACGAGGAACGCGCCGCTTCTCTCTGGAGCATCTAGGGTTTAGGGTTTAGGGTTTAGGGTTTAGGGTCTGCATTAGTGAGCGTGCCACTACTCCCTGAAACACCTAGGGTTTAGGGTTTAGGGTTTAGGGTTTAGGGTCTGCATTAGTGAGCATGCCACTACTCCCTGAAACACCTAGGGTTTAGGGTTTAGGGTTTAGGGTTTAGGGTTTAGGGTCTACATTAGTGAGCGTGCCACGACTCCCAGAAACATCTAGGGTTTAGGGTTTAGGGTTTAGGGTTTACGTTAATGAGCGTGTCGTTATTCTTTGAGGCCAGTAGAGTTTAGGGTTTAGGGTTTATGCCAATGAGTATGCTGCTGCTCTTTGAAACCCGCAGGGTTTAGGGTTTAGGGTTTAGGGTCTACACTA